CCCCAAAACCCCAAAACCCCAAAACCCCAAAACCCCATTGGGGGTTACATTGGTTGAGAAAACTTAGATTTTAAGTGGCAATTTACTCAGAAAAATTTGGCATTATCTGATCACCCTTTATCTCAGGCAGGTACAAATCTTGCCTATTAGAGCTAGAGTGTGAGGCAGAGGCTCTTACATGTAGTTCAGCTTAATTAGCTGGCTCATACGGTTTATGGTAAGCTTCTTGAAGCTCTTTTCACCGTAGCTGTTGAATGACTCCAGTTGGTTCAGCTTCCCTAATCCTACCTGGGAGAGTCTATATGGAATGTAAAGATCCTGACAGTTTTATTATAACGCTGGCTAGACTAAGTACATTACTTTTGATGAAGTTGCTCTAAGTGACTCATTTAATAGGAAAACAAAGGTCAGAAGAAATCTCACAACTTTGATTAGCAGTGTAAACTCAAGGAGGCAAATACTTACACATCAAAATTCGGCTTCTTAATTGTACTCTGAGATCTTCTTTGTATTGGTTGCAACATTTTCACACTATTATGAGGATTATCAATAAAATGTGACTTCTTCTTCATCGGATTCTTAAGAATAAAGCTTCAGTTGGAGATGTCAAGCTTGGAGCTTTCCCCACTCCTAAGCTTCTTGGCCAGCCTTGCTGAATCCTTGGGACTGTTGAGCTTGATGTTAAGCTTGCTTCTGGACCTATCTACCTTAGAGAAACTCAGCTCCAGTTCTGGTAGGAACTTATTTGTGAATTCTACAACATTTATAATAAATAATTACTCTTTGAGCTATTTGATCAATCACGGCTACTTATGAGATCATTAGTAGACACTTCAACTCTTTCTTCAGGCTTCTTTATCCTGAAGATCTTGTTAAGAGATTTCGAAACATTTGGAGCAGGCCTCCTTGGATGGCTGATTGCCCCCAACCTCATCTGGTCTCGTTGAAGGTTCACTTTAGAAGGCTGATTGTCTTTTTTGATTGACTTTAAAGATACAGTTCTGGAATTCTCAAGAATCTTATTAATGTAGTTCTTCTGTTGTGATTTATCTAAAAATAATCATCAGCATTCAGGAATTAAATAGCTATAATGTAATATTTCAGCTTGGCATTGCCCCAATCTGGAAGATTTCTTTATGCCTCTGTGAAAGCCATTGAGCAGTTATACCCATTAAACTGAAGCAATAACCTAGCCAACCTTGGACGTCAACATGTGTGGAAATCCTGATCTGACACTTACTTTAAATCTGGCTTGAGAGTGCCATGTACAGAGGGATCGAACTTTTCCATAGCGTTATTTCAGCATCTTTCTAAGCTTCTCGTTTTTAAAGGTCTTAGAATTGATATTCTTGTCTATATTTGTGATTTAGAGCTCATCCTTTGAAGATTGGGTGTTAAGATTTTCAATCATTACTTTTTTGAAAAATAAGATATGTAAATATAGAAGAGGAAAATCTCTATTTGATGGAACCAATCAAAACATGCTTGTAGAAATTCAGGAGTTTTAAAGATAAGGAGGAGACTTAAAGCTAAAGCTTTGGATGAAAGTTATCTTAAAACGATATATTTAATTAAAATATCACAAATTTTCCAAATCTTAACCACCCAAAATTCAACTTCCCAACCTCAAAATTCACATCTACAAAATTTCCCTTTGCTCTTTCCTCTCTAGAGAACCAACAATTCTGGTATTAAAGCTCAAAATTAAATTCCAGACTAAATAATCCTATGAAATCTTCCAAAATGTCTTAAAATACCTCTTTCAGTCCTCAATCTTTCTTCAATGGGAGATCTTGAACTCTTTCGTTTGTGATACTGAGGAGACATCTCAGATGAGCTAATTGAGAGATTTTTTGAGTCAGAAGGAGAGTCGGATTTCAACTTGTACTTCAAGATCATCTGAATATTTCTATATAAATTGGCTTCTGGGTTAGAGATCTCATAAAACATTTTTCAAAGCCTTACTTCACAATAAACGGAGACTTCTGTGCCTCTTTATCAATCCGAGAGTTAGATTTCACCAAGAAGTCAAGCTTGGAGTTCTTAAATGCATTTTTGTTGAAGATCTTGGGAGAACCGAATTTTATTTTGGAGTTCATGTTTTTCTAATAAATATTAGAATTTTTGAGGGGTTTTGGGGTTTTGGGGTTTTGGGGTTTTGGGG